TCCGCAACAAGAGGAAGGACCATGTCTATAGTCATCCCCAGAAGAGGAAGAAAAGGGGGAGGTGCACACACCAAAATGTTTAATTACCTCTGGGTGATGAGATTACAAGCAATTTTTGTTCTGCTTTCTTTGTGTGTGTGCTTTTCTGTACTGGGTATATACAACCTAGTAAGAAAAAAGTTCTACGCACTTAAAAATCTGATCCATCACCTAGAAGCAGTATCTAGCACATAGTTAATCCTCTATAAATACCTATCAAATGAAGGAATGTCTACACTGTGTTTAGTTTTGTGGGCATGTTTATGTGCATTTTATTTCTTTGCTTCTGAGAATCCCTTCTTATAGGGCACATTATTATTATGCCTAGAAAATGAGGTTGAGTTCAGAAATAACAAAATAGGAACAAAGCTGGAACTTAAAGCCAGAACTTCTAACTTTCCAAATTCAGAGTTTTCTTACTATACTACGGAGCACTAAAAATGGACTCCTATTCACATTCCCAAGTCAGAGAGTTGAATCACTTGCACACTGTCTGAGAGGGAGAAAGCAAAGAAAAATAAAGAAACATAACTTTTTTTTTAAGTTTTACTCATCCTTTCAAAACCATGGGGAAAAAAACCTGAGTACAGTGTATCTATTTGTTTACTCCTGAATTAATTCTGTAAAATAAATAACTACTGTCTCTATTTTACAGATGAGTGAACTAAAATATATAGAAGTTAAATAACTTGCCCAAGATCACACTGTTAGTAAAGCAGCAGATCCAGGTTTCAAAACCAGACAGTTTTGAAACAGTAAGATCAAGGAGTAAGGTCAAATAAGTTTTAAAAAAATAAGGTCAAGAAATTAAAGAAACAATAACCTGGAAAAGATAATGATATATTTTATCTCAATTCAAAGGATCAATAAGCCTTCATCTATGGAACAGATAAAAGCATGTTCTTGATTATTTGAAATTCTAATATTTACAAGCAGTTATTTTTTCTTGTTAAATACCACTGTAAACCTGTACTATTAACATTGTTTTATTTATTTTAATGTTTATTTATTTTTGATAGCGTGAGCAGGAGAGGGGCAGAGAGAGAGGGAGACACATAATCTGAAGCAGGCTCCAGGCTCCGAGCTGTCAGCACAGAGCCTGACGCGGGGTTCCAACTCAAAAGCTGTGAGATCATGACCTGAGCTGAAGTCGGACACTGAACCGACTGAGCCACCCAGGTGCCCCAACACTGTTTTAACAAATATATTCGGCTTTCAACTACAAGAACTTTACAGCACTGTTCTACAGGAAGTGCTTCTTAGCTATGTAAAACAAAAAGGCTAAAACATTAGTGGTTGTTTTTTAGCAAAGAGCACATATCAAAAGAAATACACCATCTCCCAAAATGACAATTCCAGCAAAAGACGAGTACTAAGGAAGTTCTCTTTGCTAGCTACCATTTACATCACATAGGGACCTTTAAAAATAACCAATACACAGCACCCACTCCAGACCAATTACATCAGATATCTGGGGATGGGTATAAGTTTTTTTTTTTTTAAAGCTCCCCAAGTGATTCTAATGTGTAGCCAGGGTTGAGAACCACTGTTCTAAGGAAATCTAAACCCTCTGTTATTACTTCACGCAGAGCTTTTGTCCATAATGGTCTGAAAAAGTATTCAGTCAACTTACTCAACACATTTGCAAACAACCAGGAGAGTAAAATAAATAGGACCCCGCAACTACTAAAAGGGGTATTAACTGTGAGTGCACTTAGCCCAACAGATTAGACAACAATCAAGGCTAAAGGATTCCATTAGTGTTCTGGATAACAGAGGAACTTCAATTAACATATCAAATATGCCAATGACCAATTACTTCTATCTCTCAAACCGTAGATTTTACCATCTGTGAAATGGTGCCATAATTTCTAATGGACCCAAGAGCCCAATAATTCAAGAAAAGCTGAAACAAGCATAAACCTTGAAACTAAAAGACCCACATGTATCATCATCTTGAAAAACAAAACGAAAATTAACCTGAACTTTAATGTAGAAATGCTGGCAAAGAGGGGCGCCTGGGTGGCTCAGTCGGTTAAGCGGCCGACTTCGGCTCAGGTCATGATCTCGCGGTCTGTGGGTTCGAGCCCCGCGTCAGGCTCTGTGCTGACGGCTCAGGGCCTGGAGCCTGTTTCAGATTCTGAGTCTCCCTCTTTCTCTGACCCTCCCCTGTTCATGCTCTCTCTCTGTCTCAAAAATAAATAAATGTTAAAAAAAAAAAAGAAATGCTGGCAAAGAAAACATTTTCATACTTTCCGGCAGAGTATCCTTGAAAAGTCAAGAATGCCATAAGAACTCTGAAATTCAAACTCATATGCCTACATTTTTACATCTGGCTACTTGCAGTTTCACAGGAAAATGAAATACAGTAAGCTTCAAAATCAAATATAAAAATATCCTGTTGTGTTAATCAAAAATACTACTACAGGTCCATATCCTTTATTCAAAACCCTTGAGGAAATACATATTTCAGAATTTTTCAGCTTTTAGAAACACAGTACAGTGTCTCTATCTTTTACAAGCCCTTGAGGATCTACAACAACACCAATCATCAAATTAGTATTCCAAATTAATATGCTATATTAATACTATTTTCTAAGTGAGAAGAATAAAGATTGTAAGTAGCCACCTGTTGATACAAGTCACCAAATTATTTTGCTGCAAACATCTGAAGAAAAACTTTCAGAGCTTTGGGTGAACCTATAATTCCAAGATTTCTCTTTGATACCCAAGACACTGCAAACTGAACTTCAGGAAAAAAGTCCCTATAATAAAAACATCCCTTTAATACCACTGTAGTTCTAAAGAAACAACTCAAATTACGGTAGAAACACAAAAATAAAAAATAGCCCAAGTGATGTCCACCAATTTTCATGATGATGAGAATAGCATTTTAAGCATCCACCTTAATTTTCACAGTGCAATTTTGAGCAAGACCAAAAAAATACGTTATTAACATGTACACATTTACTGACTAAGGCAAGCTTGAGGCAGAGAGCCAGATGTAAAGAAAGGACAAATCAACACCTTTCTCTCTAGCAATCTGGAGACAACAGAGGACTTTGAAGCTAAGCAGACCAGGTTCTGCCACAAAGGAGAAAGTTACTTAAGCTTTCTAAACTGCAGTTTCTTCACATAAGGATAGAGATGATAATAACAGTACCTACTTCATTGTGTTTTCAACAGGATTAAATAAAGTGACATTTGAAATCCGTAACTTATATAGTCACTATTAATTCCCTACCACCTTTCCAAAGACCAACTAACTATATGCTGAAGCAGCTCAAGTATAACTTGCCTGTAAGTTATCAGGCAAATTTTATAATACAAAACCGACCATCAAAATAGGACTTTCAAATTTCAAAAGTCCAGTGTAGATTAAAATGACTAATTTCTGAAATCAGCAGCTTCTCGAAACACATTCTATCCAAACCTACCTCTCTCCCAATACCCTTCTGTCTTCCACACAGCCAGTTGCACACATAGGGATGGTAAGTGAAAATAAACCACTGTACTCAGAAGTTCACTTTTCACTCAAAATAAAATTAGATTGGCCTAGGTTTGGCAGATAAGGGAAACCATTACAGTATTAAGACTTCATAATTCATATACAACTACTGTCCAAAGAACCCAGATAATTTAAAAACACAGGAAACTAAGGCACAACAGTCCAAAATCCAACTTTCATAAACTATCCACAAAGAAAACTGGTAACTTTGGGCAGATTTTGCACCCAATGGATATTTAAACTTACCATCAAATGTACAAAAAGATGGAATCCTTTGCTATTTATCCTAAATTCAATTTAATTCCATGATGTAATTCAAGAATTTTACAGAACATGGAGTCTTAAAGCATAAAAAGTTCTGAGCTGATTAAATGCTTCACTGTTAACAACTGCCCCCAAATACAGTATACAACGTGGACAACCTAGACTTCCATCACACTGAACTTGAAGGAAAACGTTTAATGAAGTTAGCATAGCTCCTATGAAATTGAAAGCTTTCCCTAAATGTTATTACTCAAAAACTACTAGTTAAATAACCTATTAGGGCCTGGCAGTTCCATCAGCTTCAAGAATATCACTTGCCATATATCCTAGTACAGCGCAACATAAAATGCCTCGAAAAGAATCTCTATTATTCTATGTTCTAATCCCATGTGTTTAATGAGAAAAGATTTAGAACTAAAAGCAAATGGACCAGGTACCTCACAACCACCAACGAGATGCACTACCTACACACTTAATCCTTCATTCTTGCACTTTTCCTCCATAAACAGGAAACTCCAAAGAGAAGGAAATAGAGAACAGCCTATTTTTGCTAAGGGGAATAACAGCATTGCTTCCAACCCTACAGCGTGAGTGAATAAATGAAAAAGCAACAGGGGAAAGGCACGGGGGGAGGGGCGGTCGGTGAGCTCAGTTAGGAGTCCTAAACATGCCATCCAGCTCAGACAGTGCCCAAAACATCTGTAACGGCAGCTGCAGCAGAGAAACGGGGGTGTGAGGGTAGAGGGCCGTGGCTTGGGGGCTCGGAGTTGTGCCTGCACGTTCGGCTTCCTCCTTTGCCAACTCTTCTCTCACCTCCCAATTCCCATCCTCCCCAACCCATCCTGCTCCCTCCATATAGAAAAATAACCAATAAAATCAGAGGCAGAGAAGACAAAGAAGCAGGAGGAGGCTGCAAGGAGCGTCCAGAACAATGGGAGAGAAGGTGCGAAGCGAAACTCCTGAAAAGGACAATGAAACAAGGGTGGAGAGGAGCCCGGAGAGGAACCAGGGAAACACCGCCGAGCCCGGGCCCCACCAGAGGCGGACGCCTGGACTCGAGGCTCGGCTGGGCGGGCTGTATCACCCGGACGCTGGGGGCTGGGCTAGGCTGGAGCGGACGGGGGCGGCGCGGCCCACAGGGGCCGGCGGGGCCTGCGCGGGTCCGCGGGCAGCTGCCGGCAGGACTCACCGGCGTTCTGGTCGCGGGGCCAGAGGTAGTATGTGGCCGGGATCACGATGAGCCCCACGAATGAGGTGAGGAAATAGAAGAAGGTGTTCCCGCTGTCATCGTACTGGAACTGCTGTCCCGCCATGACACCCCCCCCTCCGCCGCTCTGTCCTCACCGCCGCCGCCACGACCCCGCTCTGATCTCCAGCACCCAACACCCCGGCCCTGTGTGGCGTAGCTCGGACGCCGCCGCCGCCGCCGCCGCCGCCTCTCCTCCCCGCCCCCACGCTACTCTCACGGACACGCCGCCGCCACCGCCGCTGCCGTCGCCAGATCTCGCGAGAAGAAATAGTTCCCGCCCCACTCGGTTTTTCCCTCCCTCTGCCTCTCCCCAATACACTCGCTAAGGGAGACGTGGCGCGCGCAGCCGTGGAACTCGGCGAGGTCCCGCCCTTGATCCCGCCCCCAAGCCAGAGGCCCGCCCCTCGAGCTCCTGTAGGTCCTCCTCTAGCCTTAAGAGTGCCCGGTGGTGCCTTTTCTCCTGCGCCTTCTTTCCCAGCGTCCCACTAGCTGTCTTGAGGTCATTTTAGGGGGGTCCCAGCAAAGACCCGCGGAGCTGTGAGTGCGTGCGGTTCATCACCTGGCTGCTCCTGGAGTCGCAGCTATTCGGAGCAGATCTGAGGTTTCCTTGCCTCTCCCTTCTCCCATCCTTACCTCACCTTGTCTGCCCTCTCTCTTATTTAATTTCCCTGGTTAATAATAACGCTTCTTTAAGTTCCAGATCCGTCCCTCCAGCCCTCACATTTTGAAAACACGGGTCATTCAGAATTGGGTGGCGCAGGGGGGATGGTGGGGGTTTTGTTGTGGTTTGTTTGCAAAGTAATGTTTGCTATTAAAAGATTGAGATCTAAGCTGCGCCCATTTTGCAGATGGAGATTCCCCAAGCCAATAGAGATTGTGGCCTGTACATCCCAGAGGCAATATTTATAGACACCAGGTCACCAGTATTTTCTTCGTCCCAGGCTGTAGACTGAGACTTCTATTGCTTTATACCATTTAATCGTCGGTAAACCCCTTGGGAAAAATCAAAGCATGCCCTCTCCAGATGAGGAAATTGAGGCTCAGAGAGATTGCCTAAAGTCATGCATAGTAAGAAAAGGTCCAGGAATTCAAACTCAAATCACTGGACACCACAAAGCCAGTGCCCTTGGCCACCACCTTGTCGTGGACCTTAACATTTCCCTGAGAGCAGCTGGCACCCCTTGCAAGGTGTGGGCAGGAATCTGTGTTTCGATGAGGGATGCCTAGGGAAGCAGTCGCTCTCAGGAGACTCTCTCTTGGCTGGCTGTGAGGTCCCAGAGGCTGGAGTCAGCTGAGCTGGGAGTGGAGAGGACTGGTTTCCTGATCTGGGAATGACCTGCGCGGTCCCACTGCAGCCCTGGCTGAGACCTATTCCAGTGTCTCCATCTCCCGTCTATGGATCAAAAGGAAAGACCCACCTAACCTACCTCACAGAGTGGTTGTGAAGAGTAAAGGGAATTATAGTGAACATGCTATACAAAGGAAAAACTATGAAATAAGCAAATACCACATTACATTTTTCTTACACTATTTTTTTATTATATGAAATTTATTGTCAAATTAGTTTCCATACAACACCCAGTGCTCATCCCAAAAGGTGCCCTCCTCAATACCCATCACCCACCCTCCCCTCCCTCCCACCCCCCATCAACCCTCAGTTTGTTCTCAGCTTTTAAGAGTCTCTTATGCTTTGGCTCTCTCTCCCACTCTAACCTCTTTTTTTTCTTTTTATTCCTTCCCCTCCCCCATGGGTTTCTGTTAAGTTTCTCAGGATCCACATAAGAGTGAAAACATATGGTATCTGTCTTTCTCTGTATGACTTATTTCACTTAGCATAACACTCTCCAGTTCTATCCACGTTGCTACAAAGGGCCATATTTCATTCTTTCTCATTGCCACGTAGTACTCCATTGTGTATATAAACCACAATTTCTTTATCCATTCATCAGTTGATGGACATTTAGGCTTCTTCCACAATTTGGCTATTGTCGAAAGTGCTGCTATAAACATTGGGGTACGAGTGCCCCTATGCATCAGTACTCCTGTATCCCTTGGGTAAATTCCTAGCAGTGCTACTGCTGGGTCATAGGGTAGGTCTGTTCTTACACTATTTTTTAAAACTAATTTTAAAGGGTGCCTGGGTGTCTCAGTTGGTAAAGCCTCCCACTCTCGATCTAGGTCTGCTCAGGTCATGATCTCCTGGTTGGTGAGTTCGAACCCCACATCAGGCTCTTCGCTGATGGTGAGGAGCCTGCTTCGGATTCTGTCTCTCCTTCTATCTGTCCCACCCCCCTCTGACTCAAAATAAATAAACATTTAAAGCAAAAAATTTTAGTACAGTCTATTTACTGACTTCTTTTCAATATGTCTTCCATTGTTAGAAGAGGAATCTGGTCACATGTCTTTTATTTTATGTCCTTAAAACTAGCATTTATCATAATCAGTAATGCTTTTCTTCATAATGGATTATGTTCACATGTATTGTCTCTTCCCTTTCAAATGACCTACCATTTTGAAAGGAAATTTTTTAAAATAGTCTTCTTGGGGCACCTGGATGGCTCAGTCAGTTGAGCTGCTGACTTTGGCTCAGGTAAGGAACTTGGGGTTCATGAGTTCAACCCCCACATGGGCTTGTTGATGTCAGCTTGTTGGTGCAGAATCTGCTTCAGATCCTCTGTTCCCTTTCTCTCTCTGCCCCTCCCTGGCTTATGCTTGCTTTCTCTCTCAAAAAAATAAGTAAAACATTAAAAAAAATAATCTTCTCTACATTTCCCTCCTCACATTTTTCTATATAAAGGTTTTCAAAGACTACACAGGAGGGGAAAAAAATAAAAAAGAAGTGAGGCGAAGGGGATTGAACTATGAAGTGAGCACAGCATTTTGATTACCCCAAAGCAGATATGCCCAGAACAATTTGCCTTGCCTCAGAAACAAATTAGCCATAAAATTGGCTCAACTGAAGTGGGTAGGTTCCTGAAGTTTCTTTTGTTTATGTTGAATTTCTTATTCTTTCCAGGTTCTAATAATGCTGAGCTGGTTATTTTTTATTACTCTGATTATATACTTTACTCAGCATTTGTGTAAAGATAATACTTCAGTTTTATAACCTTGTAACAATATAAATTATTGATGATAAATATTCCCCTTCTGACTTTTTTTCTGCAGGAGTAATCTTTTCACTGCAGCTTTGGGGTCATGCATAAGAATGGCTTGAACAGAACTGAACCACGAAACAATATTTTGAACAAATCACATTTATTTGCTAACCTCCAGACCAATCTAAAACATGAATTTTTTTTTCTTATCAAAGCAGATTAAAGAATGTGAAGGGAGGTATTGAAAAGACATTAGGGTTTGATTATGCTCAACTTCAAAATCATGAAAACAATTTTCAAAGAGGAATTGATGGCCGTGGTTTGTGCTTTAGCATTGGGAGCAGGTCTGTGTTTTGGTTCCTCTCTTTTCATGGTATCTTCTCTTTCTAAAGGTATCCTAGAACTTAATGTTACTGAACATGGGTAAACTTGGATCACCCAAATATTCCCCAGAGCAAATCTTAATTATAGCCTTAATTAATCACGATTTCTGATTCATTGATGTTTTTATTTATTTATTTTTAACATGTATTCATTTTGGGGGGAGTGACAGAGACAGAGTGTGAGTGGAGGAGGGGCAGAGAGAGAGGGAGACAGAATCTGAAGCAGGGTCCAGGCTCTGAGCTGTCAGTACAGAGCCGGGTGCAGGGCTGGAACTCACAAACCGCGAGATCATGACCTGAGCCGAAGTCGGCCACCTGACCACCCAGGCGCCCCTCGTCGATGTTTTTAAACTAACCCAACAGTTTCTTTCAAGAGATCATTTTAATAAAATACTTAGTAATACTAAGTGAATATGGCAGAACCAGATCTACAAATACATTTTGCTCTTAATCTAATAGCACTTTCTAAAAGGCCTTTTTGTATTCTCACTATGTATCTATAAATGAATATTTTAATCAATTTCATTTCAATTGCTAGGAAGATAATTCCTCTCAAGTGTAGAAAGCCTGACTATTTTTAGGTTCTTCTTAATAATTTACTTTTTCCTTAGAGCAAATCTTTGTTTCATTCCAAATCCTTCTTGTACAGATGGTGTTGACTTACATTTCTACATACTAACATACATTTGTGTGACCATAATCAATATTGTTTAATTTTCTGTTTAATGGAATTAGCCTTAACGAGACTGGAAACCACCAAGTTATTAGGTAGGTTCATGCAATTATTTCCAGTCTTTTATTCCTCCCCCCACCCTACAATAATCTTCACTGCCAAAGCCTAGCAATTCATCTTTAATATTAAACCCCTTATTACTTTGTTTCAGAGTTAGGATTTTCTTTCATTAAGAGCTAATTGTTGGGCGCCTGGGTGTCTTAGTTGGTTAACCATCCAACTTCGGGTCAGGTCATGATCTTGGGGTTTGTGAGTTCGAAACCCCGCATTGGACTCTGTGCTGACAGCTCAGAGCCTGGAGTCTGCTTAGGATTCTGTGTCTCCCTCTCTCTGCCCCTACCCTGCTCATGCTCTGTCTCTCTCTGTCTCAAAAATAAGTAAAACATTAAAAAATAATAATAACAAAAAATAAAAGAACTAAATCTCTTCTAATACAAATTAACCAATTTCTTTTTATTTGTCCTTAAGAGATGAAGAGTTACCCCCATAGTGATGACAAGAGTAACATCAACAAATTGCTTAACTAAAAAAATATTGATTGACATTGCTCAATAAGCCATAAAAGAGCACTTACTGAAATTTCCCACCCAGATTGAAATACAACTTGGAAGAATGGCCATAAATAAACAGAAGAGTGCACTATGGGTAATTTCAAAGCTATATTTTTAAGTAAGAAGAAAAAAAATCTCAATAGAGATTAGAACTTCAGGAAAACCATAAAAAATATAAACTTGCTGAAAAACAAATATTTGTGGGTACTTAAGCATATAAAATTGGGGGACTTTAGGAAAAAGAATATAAAATTATAAAACAAAAGTTAACATTTGCTATGGACTTTGGGTGATAATGATGTGTCAATGTAGGCTCATCAGCTGTAAGGAAGGTACCACTCTTTGCGGGGATGTTGATAATGGAGGAGGCTGTACATGAGTGGGGGCAGAAATTATATAAGAA